GCTCCGTGTAACCGAATGAGGGGCCCTCAAACACGGCTGTGGGGAGTTTGAGCACTTCTCGAAGAAACTGATCAAACTTGGCAAACACCATGACTCCACTTGAGTCTGAGATCTGTGAGAAAATATCTGAGTGACAGCAAATACGAGAATTGTTATTGTCAGCAAAGACAGAGTGCAAACAGGCTTTTGCCATTTCTTTGAATGTTAACTCTTGAGTCACAGTCCATACACTCAGCCGAGTTCATACATGTACATTTAAAGTATATGAATCCTGCATATATGTTCCAACAGTGCCACTGTGTGTTTCATTTGAGCAACTACAGGAAGAATTAAACTCCCAAGACTGGAAGACATGGCATGTGCAGCTAAGCAGGACATAAAATTTTAGAAAATGCAGATAATTCACATTAAAACTTTTTTTCATATGTTATATGTCAGCTAGTAAGACATGTACTTACAGCGCAGTTTGTCCACAATTTTCCCCCCACACATTGTTGCCAACATGGCTTTCATGGAGAAAACTGTTAGCTTTCCATGGCTTTCACTGCGAGGAGAGAAAAGGCGACCCTTCATTAGTACAATGTAAGGTTACGGGACTTTTAAAAGACGGAATAATATTATTTAATATATGTTTTTTACTTTTATTTAACCAGGAAAACCACTGACATTAAAAATATCTTTTTAGAGACAGTGTCAACATAGATACAAACAATACAAATACATGTATAAATCATAACACCCTCTCGTTAGTCAAGCAAGCAAATGATGATTTAAAATAGACCAAAAGCTGTAAAAACACGAGTCTGATGCATTAAAGCAGACAGAATTAACAAACACTGTGAAAGTGGTGAATACTTGATGAAGCACTGAAAGCTTTAAATCCACCCAAAGAAGCCAGTGAATGCAGTTTTAGCTCCATATGCAATGAATTATATGGGTGAGGAGCAGCATACAGTAAAATAGATTCACCAAATTCAGTTTTATCCTTTGCTACAGTCAGCATTAACATGTTCTCTGATCAAAGAGCATAAGAACTCCCAACCTTCTTTTCCATGCAAGTCCACAAGTAAGCCAGTAAAAGGCCAAGAATGGCTTTATAAATAAATTAACACCAATGAAGGAGCCTTTGAGAGCTCAAGGAGGTCCATCCAACATGAGCATAAAGAGTACTGTGATGAGTAATAAATTTACAATGAAGCCTAAAGATCCATGATACACAGAGTCCAAAGGATGCAAACATTGAGATGATAATATAATGTTACTGTAGCTAAGTGTGTTTTGGCATATTACATTCACCCATACTTTTTAGCTGTGGCCAAAATGGCTGCTAATTTTAAAAAAATAGTTCATGGAGTTTTTGTACAAACATATTTTCTGACATGTATGCTCACTCACAAAGGAATTAATTTTTTAATCAAAAAATCATGAACTATGCCTTGGATCACATATTAACATGGTATATACATGTCATTATTAATCTGCCTCAAGACCCCTTAACCTGCCAGGAGAGACCAGGTCTTTCATTTCAGAGCTCTGGCTTCTGAGCAGAGGCAACAGAGAATGAAACATGAAAGCTCTGCTGCCTAATTTAGTTTGGACCTCAGGGACAGATAGCAAAACTGCTTCCTGTGATTGCAGACACTCATTTCCATGAAGTTTCCCAGAGATACGGCAGCATGAATCATAACGAAGTGGGACCAGAATGGCCTTACAGATAAAAGTAAACCAATCGAATGGGTCCATAAATGAACAGGGCAAGCAGCCATTCAATTTGAGCACACAAGGTTCAATAATGAGAGAGAGAGCTTTATGGTTGGTAATAAAGCTCTGTGCTCCAGGATGCACAGTGTCTGGGGCCTTGAGCACAGAGCAGACATTAAGGGGATGACTATACAGTAAAACGTGACCAAGGGTCCTTGAGCTGAAACAGACACACTCTGCAGAATGCGCCAGATCTGTGTTTGTTCTAGCATCAGGTCACTGCCAGGATTTCTGAGGTCTAGCATCAGATTCAACTGATGGTTTGATGTGAGGTTTGGGTGGTTTAGCGACTTTAGGAGAGTTTACATTCAAACTTACACATTCAGTTTATTACATTTTGTATTCAGTATTTGTCTACCTGAATTTTATTCCTGGCTGTTTGAGCAATTCTTTAAAACACCATTTGTGCTTTTGTTTTAAGGAATACAATGGTGTAGTTTACAGGTATGTAATTTCCAAATACATTTCTAGGAAGTGTCCTGGAAATAAAGAGCTAAGTAATTTGGTAGTAAGTATAAGGAAAACAGAAAGTTCAGTAGCAAGTATTTTAATAAGAGTAGGGCAATAGATTATTCATTCATAAAATACCAGAGAAACATGGAGGTCATGCTGCACAATGTCCAAGAGTCCAAAGTATTATAAGCTGTCTTGTTTCGTCTGACCAGTGATATTCAATTTAATGAAGAGTAGCAAATACTCACATTGAAGAAGCTAGAAAAAAATTTGTATTGTTTTGGCAAGTTTGCTTGATAAATTACAAACATTTTAGCTATATAGTCGAAAAACAATTCCTTCAATTGCTCAATTGCTCAATTTAAATACAGCTTTAATAGAGTTTACTCAGCACAGATTTACTCAGGTCACCATGACCCGATTTCAGATAAGCAGAAGGAAATGAACGGATATAATGTATGAAAATCCAAATAATATAAAGACTTTTACAGAACATGCCTTTGTAATAAGAGGTATCACTTCATTTTGATAGGCCATGAAAATGACTTGCCTACTGTATAAATCGGCTTTTTCAGCAGACTATGCAGCAGCCAGCTAATCACTGATGTTTTTAAATTAAAAGGTTCAGTGCACTGCTTGTAGCTCATGTTACCTGTCTGTAAGTTGATTGTCACAGTTGTGAGTGTAAGGTTTAAACCAGGACACTAACTTATATAAAAGGCACACAATGTGGACAAAAATGGAGAGTACTGTACAAGGTAATGGCATAGTGGAAAAGCCACCATATGTACCGGATCAACAGGGCCTTGGTGGCCTTGGTCAAAGGCTGCCCTCCGAGAGCCGGGGTCTGTCGCAGGTTTCTTCCGTTAAAGGGAGCTTTTCTCAAGGGGGATTTGTTGGGGTTTCCTCTATAGTAATAATAGTAAGGCCTAGACCTTACTTTGTTGTGGTTTCTACAGTAGTGCTCCCCAAACAAGAGAAACAGAGAATGTGGCGATCACCACAGCTGCCCAGACCACCTGCCTCATACCTGTCATAGGTGGCCACCATGAAGTTGAGCAGCAGCCCGATGGACTGCTCCACATTGATCTGGTGGGTGGTGGGCAGCCGCTTGTTCAGCTGGTAGTAGATGGAAGACAGGATGGTCTCCAGCCGTGACACATTGATCTCAGCGTTGTGGTCCAATGTGTTGAGCCCGTTGTCACGAAAGGCTTCGATCATGTTCCAGACATCCACCAGATGAACTGTGTGGGAGGAGGGGTAGCAGTGTGGGAGTAACCAGGCAGATCTATTAAGTCTATATTCATGTTGTAGTGTTTGTGCTGGTTACACAGTGGCATAACTTAAAAGAGAAGAAAACCTGTAAGAATCTAAATGCTCTTACGGTTGCATCTCTTTTGCACAAACCGGAGTTTGCAGGCAGTCCTGTATGTCGACAGTCTGATGACGTCGAAATTTTGAGCTCCTAAAAGACAGAAGCATGAAAAAGGTCCCATAAGATTTACAGGTTAATGCACAGCCTGTTCTGTTTAATGAAATAAAATTAAACTCTTTACAAACACAATCAGGCTCACTGAAGGAACATGTCACTATCACTGTTTTTGTGTGGGAGGAATTATTCAGTAAGTGTGAGGGACCACGCATCTCCAGTGCAGCTCAGAGGCAGTCAAAGAATTAGATGCTAACTGTGAATAGTGAAAACAGACTCCACTCACTCATTTCCATGAAGAGCTGCCTCTTCTCCACCATGGCCTTGCCTCGTTTACTGCCTTCCTCGATCATTCTGTGGCACATCAGACAGCAGAGCATGCAGCACTTACTGTTCAGACAGCAGCATGGTTATAAGTGCAACTCACAGCTCTTTTCAAAATTATTCAGATGCCATGCAAGCGAGCAGGATTTATCATGTGTGCAACTGAAAAAAATGTTTCCAAAAAATATAAGATTCTTATCTTAAAAAAACAACAAATTAAAAGTTCTGAATAACAGGGGATCTGGTCTTCATGTGTCCTTTATACACACATACATACAGTACAGTTGGCGATCTGTCATGTGGTTGTGCCACGTGGGTGAAATGAATAGATGAGCTTTTGAAAAGGATACAGTCTGTTCTCTCGTCTTTATTATCAACTTTGTCCATCAAGGACTGTTATTCATCACACTGGCTATTCATTATGTGGCTTTGGTTGACTTTTCAACAGATGATGAAACCAGTTATGGAGAAGAAATTAACACTTTTAATAACCTTTAAAAAAAAATTCACCTTTTTAAGAAACCTAGCCTAATAACCAGACTGAATTACTTCTTCTTTTGTTTAATTTCATTGCTATTTAAATCAATATAACAATGAAGGTGTGCGCATCAATTCTGGAAACTGAAAACCAGAAACTATCTTGACTTTCTTGTTGAGTGTTAGATGAGAAGATTGATGCCACTCTCATACCTGTATGATAAATGCAACCTATTAGTTTAGTGCTAGACGAAGACTGGGCACATGTTGTATCTCATTTATTTAATCCTTAAAATGAATAAATGTAAAGAAATCAAATTGTGGTTTTATGAGGAGGTTGTGTGCCTGATTGTTTCCATCACAGGCCAATTTTGCGCTGACCTAAGCCAAACTATAAGGAAAGGAAATAAGCACCTTTCCCATAATGTCAAACTATTCAGCTATTTGAAGCGTGTCTACAGTCTGTATTTAATTTTAAAACGAAATGCATGAAAATGATGATGCCGCTGTCTAATCAAAGACAATTCATTTTGTCCTTAAAGTTTTTATCCTTGGGATGCACGTGTCGGATGCTGAGTGGAGGAACAAAAACTCATCTCTTTCATATTAGTCAATCAACGTCTGTTGGATTTTAGCTTGTGTGACGATGCCCCACTTTGTTTCACTGCCGGCTCCATTGTGCCATTTTAAAAAGCATACATTACTGTTTTTCCTTTTTCTACTCATAATACTCATACCTGTGGAAGACAAATTCCGTTTCATTACTTAATTCGTTCCTTCGGTCTACTGTTCTTGTCATCGGGGCTTTTAATGTGGTTTCATAAGTTGTTTCTTCAGAAGGCATTTTTTCTTTTATTGCTCATGTACAGCGAACTTATATTCTTTATTTTAAAGTAAGACTATAGATGACAAACTATAATTACATATAATATAACTTTAACATTGTAGATGTGTTGTGTAAAGATTTCAAAGGAATTTACCTGTCGCTGGCTGAATGTCAGACAAAGTGAAGCCCTAAAATGTTGACCCTGTCAAGAAAAAGCCAAGTTGAAAGAGTTAGTAAGGGTGAGTCTTTTGGCTTGAGGTGATCATTACTATGAGAGATATGTGGTTCCTCAAAAAGTAGTTGACTTTTAAATAAGTAATTAACACCTTGCCTCTCTCCCTCCTTCAAGGAATTAATTAACTCTCAATTTGTGCCTTGTTTCCCTTCTCCCTCCTCCTTGTAGAGATATTGGGGAGCTGGCAGGAGAACACTCCAGTCCCCCTGGTCTGTGCAAATGATGATTCTCCATGACATCCCGCTCAACAGTGACTGCATCCTGTAGGCTAATGACACCGACTGAGCTGCAAAGGAACCACTTAACGATGACAGACACAGAGCACGTTACGGCTGAACAATGAGTGATGAGCGCTGGGTGTCCCGGACAGCCTTGAACCGAGGGACGGAGGACCTAAAACATCTGGATTACATGGATGTTCGCTGGTTGGGGGTAGGTCCGTAGACCAGCAGGGCATAAGCAAAGAATCCAAGGTTCTGCTAGCCTTAGGATGTCTGGAGGGAGGGTTTGCACCAAGCCTAGCTTTAGAAAGGCTTCTTCTCACAATGAGCTCCACAGTTATGACAGAGCCTCTTTCCAGTCACAAACTCTGCTGGTTACAGGTACAAGGGTCTTTGGAAGGTTTTCTTCCAGTGAAATGCCATGTTGTTCAATTCAGACATTATTTCATTTAGATCAGGTCTGATCAGGGCTGCAACTAATGATTATTTTCATTATCAAATAATTATTTTTAAAACAAAAAAGCTGTAAATCCTCACTTTGCAAAGCTGAAACCAGAAAATGTTTGAGTTTGCTTACAAAATGACTAGAAGTTAAGTAATTATCAAAATAGTTATGAGGTGTGGCTCAACTTATCCGCTCCAGTGATAATCACCGATTTCAAGGCCATCAGATATGGCTGCTTTTTAAGACAGTGATAAACTTTGTACTAAATCAAACAGCAGTTTTATTGCTCTGAAGCAGTACTGTGGCAGATCTTATAACCCAGTCAGGTTGGAAAAACCTGGTCAGCCTGTTTACTTTTCAAATGGGGTCCAACATATTTGTATTTGTTCTTTGTTAGGGTGGTAAGTCAGAAAAGTACTATTATACTTTGGGGTAAAGAGTAAAAAAAATGGCTAAGCAGTGCTCAACAGAAACATGTCAACAAAATGAGTGCTTCACTGTAAATATTCAGCCTATGAAGTAACTGCAGAAATTTATGAGTAGGCACCTCGGGCCTCGCTTTGGCAGCCAATGTGCAGAAAACTGTGAGCAGTGCCTGACAGAAAATGTGTTATTTTATATGAGGGAATAGATACAAGTTCTTAATAATTCAGACAAAACGAATTCATAAATGAGAGCACTATTCAGAGGCACAGACCAGAGTCAGTGTGATAAAGATCTGAATAAATGGGATGTTTAGTCAAATGCATTCATTCAGTGGCATTTAAATAATCATGGACTCATGTTGCCTTATTTTATCAGGCTTTTTTGATCCAGCACGCTGTGTAGTGATCATTATGAGCCTGTAAAGGTGCATTTTACTGTAACCGCACCTACAGCTTCGAGGTAATGACAACATCCTTTGACGCGAGTCAACATAAGGACTCGGTTACTGCAGTATCCCCCTTCCGCTGATATCATTCACTTCTCCGTTTGTACAAGCCTCAATTCTCACAGTGAGCAATCCTGCAACACTTCAAATTCACTTCTAAAGCGACGGCTGAGCACAAACACAGCCATGGTGCTGATTTAACTGCCTTTTGCCTTATTTCCGCAATGGGAATAGTGTGTCGTGATGCCCATCATTTCTGGGATAAGAAACAATGGCAACCCTGCATCTTTCAGTTTTCACCGGTGTCTCGTCAGCCGAATAAGGGTTGGAGCAGGGAAGTGGCCTTTACCGGAGGAAAATCGCGCAGGTTGCGTTTATAGCATCATCATCATCATCATCACCATCGGCAGCAGCAGCAGCAGCATCCGATGGGGAGGATATGTGGTCCAGTGTGAATAAGGAGGATATTTCCTCCGTCACTCTCAGCCGCACTCTCACCTTTGATGAATCCACGCGTGCCTGCCGACGTTACACCTGTCCCAGCGATGAGAAACGGCTCGGACCGTCCATCTTCATATTTCAGGCTCCTCTCCCGTTTCATCCGACTTCAGTCTTGCGAACTGCGGTTGTAACCGCACATAGAAATGTACGAGCGCCCCGCTCCGCTCGGCATCATCAGCGACCCAGCGGCAGGGGACGGCAGAGCAGGCTCGGAGATGCCATGCGCGGCCTCCTATTATACTTTACGCGGGTGCGCACGTACGCTGGTTAAAGGCGCACTACTACTATTGCTGCTGTTACTCTGAATTATGATACTCAGCATGATAGACGGGGGATGAAACATAAACACAGATTTACCTTATTTTAAAGGGGAACGTCAGCCTTTTGTAGAGTATTGCCCTTTCATAAAGCCCAGTGGCTCTAAAGAGACAGATTTTAAAAATCGACGGAGAGAGTGAGCTGATGCAGGAGAAGAAGAGATATGTTTCAAACGTTGGGTTATGCACTTTCCATAACGTAATTCAGTACTGGGGTCTGTGTAGGAGATAGTCTCCTTTCTGTATTCCCACTTAATTTTATGTTATGGATATCCTCAACATCACTTGGAAACACAGGACTCTCTCAGATAATGTAATGACCCTGACGGCTTAGGTTGGGATACCCCTATTTTGTCCACCTGTTTTCCCATTTTGCATAAGTGGTGGCTCCAAATACTACAGTGCCTACAGTATGAGCCTCACTCTCTGTTGCTGGTTTATTTTTTGCAACTGGAAACACAACATGGTGCCACAGTTCCTAAATTTATCCAAAATTGACTCAGAATCCAAAAGTCAAAAAATGTAAGCAGCAGATTACTAGTCTAGTGTTTAGCAGCACTTGTAACAGAACATAACTGCAATTAAGATGTTTATTTTTAAAATACACCCCGGACATTTTCTGTACAGAAATGTTCATGCACAAAGTGCTGCACCTTTGTGCACCTAAAGTTGTTATTAATCTTTTTGTACTGGTGATTCAGTCCAAGCATAAAGGTGCTTCAACTGTAAAGATGAGTTTCACTACCAGAACCAGACATTACACTGTCACCACCTCCTAGATGGCCTCTTCTGCTTCTCCAATTTGTACTTTAAAATTTAAAAGCAGAAAGCCTAACGCATTAAGAGATAAATGTCCTCTGTGGCTCTGAAGGGGAGCCACAGAGGACATGACATAACTTTTTACATACAGTAGTTTAGTATACGTGTAACACATTTGCTGACAAGTGAACTTCAAACGGCCCTTGCATCCCTCTGTGTCAGCTAAGCACCAGTAAAAAGCAAACCAACACAAAATGCTTTTCTTTTCATTATTTATTCATTATAGTCTATAACTTTGATAAAATACACTTTGTTTACAAGTGCTGATTATTATATTACATTTACCCGGAGTTTAAATGGGGGCAAAATGACACAGACATATTAAACTAATTTACCTAGTGACAAATGTGACATTAAAAAAAGGTGGTGATTTCCTGTGACACTTTTACCCACAGTCATTTCTATATGAACTGCTCCTCTAAATGCACAGACAACAGATGACTTCAGCGACAGTGGGGGCTGCTGCTGCCTGACTCGTGTTTCAGTCCAAAGATTTCAGCTGCCTTTAAGGTTGTGATTAAATATGTTTACTTTTTTTTTTTTTTTTTTTTTGCAGTGCAATCCAGTCACCAACTCTACGTGATTAAATGCACCATCCTAACATCACAGTCAACCAAATAAGACTTAAATTGTTATGGGGATAAATTAAATTTGTGTTCACAGAATCAAATACTGGTTTATAATTTTAGTGAAATGACTAAATCTATATGTGGAAACCTCTCCAGATTCCAAAACCAGTTTTCCACAAGACACAACCCCCAACTTAAAAACAAACACATTTAAAAATTCACTTGGATTAATCTACTGACCTACAAAATGACACTTTAAAAACATCTTCTTGTTTTCAAACGGCAATGACACAACTGTAGACAGCTAAAAGGACACACACATTAGACAACATCTACAGTATATGGTAAAATATAAACCAACAGATCCACTGAAAAACTTGGGCCATACAGAAAATCTGATAACTGGGCAATTAGATTTACAAAAGTCAAGTTATTCTCTATATGGTGGTCTAAACAAAATTATAGGAAAAATAGACAGCCAATATGTAATATCATAGTAAATACCCTGTTGATTTGTCAAAAACAATTAGCAAATAGATTTTTATATTAAAAACAAGTTCTGATTATTTTGTCTTCTTTAAGGTGACTTTGGCATATTAACTTGGAAATAACTGCTATAAAACAGGCCTATGTTGCACCTTCAGGAGATTTCAAAACATAAATGACACATCTTTATTTGCGATCAGCATGAATACCTGATCGACCTGCAGAGGTAACTCTTCACACTGACTTTTTTTTGCATGTGGTACAGTAAGCATTAACATCACCGCAATGCACCTACAAGGTTGTAACACAACAGTGTTGGCACCACAAATGTGCTGGTTCATCCTTGTACATCACATACACACATTACTGCACATTATATAAATGTGATACCATATTAGTTTGCGCTTACAGTACTTCATACCACATTAATATCAGGGAGTATTCCCATGTAATCTGGAAATTTTAAGATGAAGTGTTACCCCTGCATGTTAACTGGTGTCATTTTGTACCTCCAAATCATTCTGTAATGATTCTGTAATCATTCTGTCATTATACAATTTAGCATATAATATAGCATTTAGCAATTTAGCATAATTTACTATTATTCTCTATTTACTTTCGACATTTTGTAATAAACAGCCAGATACAGTGGGTACGGAAAGTATTCAGGCCCCCTTAAATTTTTCACTCTTTGTTATATTGCAGCCATATGCTAAAATCATTTAAGTTCATTTTTTTCCTCATTAATGTACACACAGCACCCCATATTGACAGATAAACACTGAATTTTGGACATTTTTGCAGATTTATTAAAAAAGAAAAACTGAAACATCACATGGTCATAAGTATTCAGACCCTTTGCTCAGTATTTAGTAGAAGCACCCTTTTGAGCTAATACAGCCATGAGTCTTTTTGGGAATGATGCAACAGGTTTTTCACACCTGCATTTGGGGATGCTCTGCCATTTCCTCCTTGCAGATCCTCTCCAGTTCTGTCAGGTTGGATGGTAAACATTGCCAATGAACTTAAATGATTTTAGCATATGGCTGCAATATAACAAAGAGTGAAAAATTTAAGGGGGTCTGAATACTTTCCGTACCCACTGTATGCTCAGGCAAAGTGTGCTGCACAACTGAAATAAAATGCATTTCTACATCTAGGTATGTACTGTAAATGAGCAAAAATTTACTGCAAAAAAGATTATCTAAATTTTCTCCCCTTGCCTTGAATGTTTTTAGCATTTGCCACTGCTGATCCGTCTGTCCAGATATACAACATGAGAAACCCCACTTCATGAGAGACAACATCTACAAGCCAGGTTTTTGGGATGAAAACACAGTAGGAAGTTACTTTAGAGCTTCTCCTGAAATGAAAAAGATCTAAATTTTCCAAAATGAACAAACATATATGTAGGCATTTATATAAATGATTCTACTTTTGTCATATTTAAATGTAAGTGCTGTACACAGTTACTGCCTTATCTCCAGGTGGTTTTCAAGTGCTTTGCCCTCTATTAGTCTAAAAAACTGTGATGTGCATTCCTCAGGAGTTGATTTTTTATAAAGTATCATTTTAAAACCGTTTTAATATCTCATTCTAAAACTAAACATGCTCTTTCTCTTTCTTAAATCTTGAGTGTGTTCAGTAATAAATGTACATTTTTTTTATATAAAATAGTTACTGTAAGTTGCGCTTCCCTGCCATGTATGCATAAATGCAAAATAGGAGGTACTCTGCAACCAATGATTATCATTAGCGCCCTTTTTTGCCTTTAAACCATTACTGATTAGGCCCAATAATAAAAAGTGTCAGTCTAAAACACAGCAACAGTAATTATGTTCTACAAAAATAGCAACATTCAGTTTCCCACCTTTTTAAAAACTCCACACATGCGCGCGTGCACACACACATATACAGTATATATATATATATATATTAGAAAATATATATCACACTAATCCTAGCCGAGTGCAAACATTGCCAGATTTGATACTTCTCACATATCTGACAGACTACTGATTTGACTGAAAACTGACATTTGTACAAAGAAACTGCACAAAGCAACTGTTTTTTTTAGATGTCGATGAAACAAACGACCATCCAGTGTAAATCCTTGACTTTCAAACAACGACCGCATGCTGGTTGTTTTATCTGATGCATGGATAATATGCTTCACCCAATTGTGTAGTGGTCCTCGATGACCTGCTTCAGCTTTGTGCCATGATTCAATACTAATCAAACCACAAAATTCTTCTTGTTATTATTAATTTCATATCATCGTACCACTAAACATGACACACACAATTTTGAGGGGCCGATGCAGTCATCGTGGCAAAAGGCTCCACACCCTTTGCATATGATCATCGCCTTCAGTCGGCAGTAGCATTTAGACTGGACATCCTCCATGTTGGAGCCCTCAATGAACGACTGCTCAGGGGAGGGCTCGCCCTGGTTGCCGTGGTCTAATGAATGACCAGCAGGTATGGTGGTGACAGTCACAGAGAAAGACATGACGCTCCCATGAACGCCGCTGCTGTCGGCTTCTGATGAGGATGTGGAAGAGCCAGTGCCTGCAGTGCTGTGGTTCAAAGTCTGAGGTACAGACATGTTGATAGTCCCACCGTAGCATGACACTACCACAGGTTCCTGATTATCGAGATTTCTCTGGATTTGAAAGGCAGACAGCTGCTGGTGACTGGGTTCCACGTGCGTGAGATATGGCTCGGAGTTTCCTTGATTATTATTGCAGACTTCAAGGTGCCTTCGGTGTGACTGAGAAAAAGAGCTGGTGTGTTTGGCTGTGGCACTGGTGCTGTTGTTATTTGCAGCTGCACTACCCTCTGATCCAGGCTCAGTTTTTACGTTGGAGCAATACTGAAAGCACGCAGCTTCGTCATTCATGCTTATGGAGTATCCCTGCTGCTCTGTTTTAACCCCAGAAACTGGAGAGAAAACTTTCTGTGCTACTTCTTCCTCCTTAGCCGCCTCCTCTCCTTCTGTGCTTTCCCGTTTTAAACTAGACACATAAGTGTTAGGGATGGCAGACTGGTGCAGTCTCTTACTCTCTGGTCCTCGGCCATATGTGGACACATTGAGCAGGTAATGTCCTGTCATGGCAGGTCTGGCCGTCCTTCTACGACCCAAAAAGCCTACAACAATCCTGGATTGATCCTGATATTCTTCTGCATGCACCAGATGATGGGATTTGTACTGAGGGCCCACACCTCCATATGGCTGGCTCTGCTGGACTTTCCTCTGCATTAGAGCCTGTAGGATCTGCTCCTGAGTCTCCTTATCAGGAAGTTCCCTGTGGTGCCTTGTGTATTCTGAGAAAACCCCTGTTTTTCCTGCTGTATTGAACTGATGGGACATCTGCTTCTCAGCCCTGTGCTCAGCATAGTGTGGTGTCTTCTCCTTACTACCAGAGGGAAAGTTTGACATTTTTACTTCCAACTTTGATAGTGGTTTTGGAAGAATCTGCTCCAAAGGAACCTCTTTGCCCTGCAGAAGCTGAGTGACCAGTGGGTTGTTTGCAGGGATACAGGAGCTGGTCCTGATTGACATTCTAGTAGAAAATGGGTTTTCCTGCCCCTTTAGGGCATGCACAGATGAAGATGGTGCTAAGTTTAAAATACTCTGGTGTCCTGCACTGACAGCACCAAGAGAAAGCCCTTTCTGTAAGTCATCAGGTTTGCTTGAGTAAGATGCTTGAGACCAGTTTGGGCTAAGCGGACCAAAGAAGTCCAGTGGAAAAGACAGAGGCATACTGCTCTGAGTGCTGCTGGTGGTGGCTGGTAACCTGATAAATGCCGGTGGGGATGTTGGGCTGGGGCTGGGTGATGGCTGTGTCTGCTCACCACTGCCTCCTCCTGGCCCCGGGCCTTGTATCACTCCCTTGGATGCAGATGATACTGCGGCAGCTGCTGCTCGCTGTGCTCGGGCAAGCTGAGCTTTGGCTTTGATGTCAGCCAAAGTCCGAGCACCAGTACGGCCCGGACTGCTAAGTGGGGCTGGGAGGGGGGTCCTGGGTGAGACTTGGCTTGGTGAGACAGGAATGGGAAGAAATCGTGACACTGAGATCTGCAAAGTAAGAAGAAAGTGATGCTGCAGAATTATTTCTAAATATGCACATCCACCACTCAAAGTTTCTCCACAGCCTAGCTCAATACACTACTGCTGTGTCACCTTACTGTCTCACAGCTAAAAAAAACCCTGCTAGAAATAAAATATATGTTGCAGGTTAGAGGGCAGAGAAATTTGTACAAACATTTTGACACATTTTTGCCATTTGAATCCGCTCTAATTACTGTGAATCCAAGGTGACTGCAGCTGCAACAAAGCAGCAAGCTGCAATCATGTCAAAAAGTACAAGTGGTGAGTTTTAGATATTCAAACAATAGATCAGAGAAAGCGCTGAAATGTATTCCTACCTTCAGTGGTGGAACCCTCTGATTTGTTGTTTGCGTCGGTGTAGCAGGGCTTGATATGGATGATGCTGTAGGAGACACAGAGGAGACTGAAGACACGGAGGAAACCGAGGACATACGGGGCCTTTTCTCTGGTGTCAGTTCACTCTTCGTCTCACTGGGAGACTTTCTTTTTAGAGGCTCTGAGAGGCCACCGGGCTCAGAGTTGACCTCTTCACTCTCCTCAGCCGGTTTAACCACAGATACCAGCTGATCCTCTTTTAACTCTGAACTAGCCCTTGGTGAAGGGCTCTTCCTCACAGGAGACTGAGAAAGTTCAGTTTTCTCCTCCTTTACCTCCTCTTTATGCTCCTTTTTAGGCAGTAAACCTGTTACATCCTGTTCAGTCTGTCTCTCATCCTCTGGTGTTCTCACTGCAGCTGCTGCCCCACACTGTGCTGCTGTGTTCAACTTACAATCCTTAGCATACTGTGAGCGCTGTGTCTTCAAGGGCTCTGCGGTGAGGACTGGCTCTTTCTGAGCAGGCTGTACCTTCAGAGGCTCCTGTGATGATGCCTGTGTTGGCTTCATGTCTTTAGCAGCAGCTTCAGTCTGGCTGCTGTCCTTAGCACCCTTGGGTTTCTCCGGTGCTTGAGCAGTAGGTCCTGTTTGACGACAGGGTGACTTGGGCCTGTCAGACTCCTGATTCAGATCAGCCTTTGTTAGCTCTTTGGATTCCTCATAGCTGAGCCCAGAACTATACAGACATAAAGAAGATGGAGCTTTAAAGACAGACAAAGAAATAAATCCACTTAGTGTGACAGTTACTCAAAATACTAAATATTACATTTTAGTTATTTGTACTGTTTTATAGATCGCAGGAAAAGAACATTAGTATTTTCCTTTTGTAAAATAAAAGTTCTATAAAATTCTATACATTTATGCCCATTTTGACATGCAGAGTTCATCTCAGTATAGACAAAGCTGTGTATTTTTTTATTTTAATGAATAAAACATATTCTAGCACTGAGTAAAAAAAGTGGCCTTATACTGCATGATGTATGAGATAAGGTGGGTAATTGCTAATCATCCATCCAGTCTCTTGCATCTCACCCAGAGAAACTGCTTTGATTGGCATCTTGATACAATCAATGATCCTTCAAATCTATATACATTTTGTTGCCAAGAGGTTAATTATCATAAACTAATATGATTTTGCTGCATAAAAAACAATTAAATATGTCCATGATGTCAATAGTGAACAATTCTACTGGTAATGTTTCCAAAAAGAAATCATACCAGGTATTCATCTACTCCTGCAATGTGAGAGGGGAATGAGGGTGGCGTTTAGATCGGGTCTGGAATCTCATTCAACCTCTATGAAATCCTTTTCTAATCCTTTGACATTAGATATTCAGCGATATTCCACTGTTCATCTCACACTATAGACAGAGAATGTTTATTTGAAAGGAGGGCAAAAAATATGAACAAATATGCATTGCGACTTCTCAAGGATTCAAGCTTTGGATTCTCCAAAGCTGGATCAGATCAGTGAATCAAGACACGATGAAGACTGTCAAACATGAAGGAGAACCTACTTTTCACCGTAATAGTTTTCAAAGAAGGCCTCTTTCCAGTGCTCAACTTTCTTTTCCTTCTCAATTTCTTGACGCATTCTTAGCTGTAACTCAGGAGTGAATTCCCCTGTAAAGGAAATTGTTACATGATTGAAAACAGAAAGATTCTGTTATACTTGCTTTGTGTATTCATACTGAACCATAGTGGCATAATATTTCCTTGGATGTAACGTAAATGTTATTATCGATTGGAAGCGGTATCACCGACCCTCAGCCAGCCTCTCCTTCCACGACTGTGCTGCTGATGTGAAGAACTCATTGTTTAAGGCAGAACTGGTGACCTTCAGAAGGCCATCCATGCAACCCTGGGGAGAGGAGGCACAATCTTATGAATAATATCATCGCAATAATTATCACCGCATCAACTTAAATACCATATATGACGCAGAGTTGAACACCTAGAATCAATGAACACATGTTCAGCTTTAAAGGACAAACTTTTTTTATGGGATACATTAGATAACTGTCAATGATTACTAATGGAAATTACATACAGTATATTAACATTACAACCTCTACAGTCAGTACTTGATATTAGAAAAATAGCATAAAAAAATGTGTAATTTTAGAGCCACCTGCCGGTCAACTTCAGGCAGAAGTTTGAGCAGCCTCTGTTGGCAGTCTGGGGGCAAGACGGAGAAGGTGTGCTTGTTGATGATCGCCCGCAGGTTGGTGTTAACCAAAATAGAGTCTGGTGTCTCCACATCTATTTTACACTTGGTACGTTTTATCTGCCCTGCAGTGCAAAACAACAAGAGACATAAGCCAAGACAGATCCAGCAGTGCGAAACTAAATGTCCTTGCTGCAGCTAACCTCTTGAGTAATTTGCATCAAAATTTAGTCGCGTAACTTGTTACATTTCTTCTGTTCTGCTAATCATTTCACATGTTCCTAGTCATCTAGAAATAATGCAGTTACTTCCATTTAGGTATAAGCAAGCAGACATTTGTCAGATTGTTTTAAAGGATGGTTGTTGTTGCACATTTTCTTATTGTCAACAAACCCCACAAAAAGACCAAAGTCACAAATACTGTAGTCATCTCTTAGTATTTTCCAATGTCCCTACCCTGTCTCTGGTACAAACCGCAATAACTTTTGTTTCCTGCTACAGAGCTAAATCTTAAAAACGGGTCACAAATATATTGTTTTTAAGTTTCATAACTCCCCGAAACAGCTGGGCACTGTAGCCTTTAATAACAATACTCCAACAGGTGGAAATAGTGCACTTGTTGGGGTGGCTGTGGCTCAGGATGCAGAGTGGATAATCTCCTAACCCAAAGGTTGGTGGTTTGATACCTGGCTTCTCTAGTCTACATGTCAAAGTGTCCTTGAACAAGACACTCAACCCCTAGTTGCTCCTGGTGATGTCACCGGCGTGTGATTATGTGAGAACATGGGGGTGCGAATGGGTGAATGGCCAAATAGTGTGAAAGCGCTTTGAGTGTGCTGCAATGCATAGAAAAGCGCTATACAAGAATGAGACCATTTACCATTTGTTGGGGACTATTTTCAACCATGGATTAATACTTATCGGGTCTCCAGTGAGTACTTAGCAGAACAAATTACAGTACTGGTGCTCCTGTGAGTACTTAGCAGAACAAATTACAGTGTATGTGTCCATCATAATTAAAGAACATTTTAATTGTTTTGGGGTACAAAGGATATCTATATTGCAAAGAGGAATATGCCATACTAGACCTTGGCAACACTCGATAGTAGGACCAGTTCATTACTGGCTTTGGTCTTTGCATGGGATTAGCTGACAACAAAAAAAGAGTAGAACATCAATAGACCCCTCTCTTATGATTTCCAAGCCGCTCAATTAAGTTAAAGTAGTTTTATGACTGACCTGCACTAAGGCGACTTGCCCTCTGGGAAACCTTCCGGGGTACAACTGGGTGACATATATCTGTTTGGACAGAGGAAGAGGAGTGGAAGGAAGAGTTTTATGAAATTGTAGGGCAAAGATTATATTACACACACTAATTATATTAGTCACATTTGAACAATGATACAAAGCCTTTGTTGTCTACTTATGAAAACATGCAATAACAAGACAATCCATAACACAATGAACATTAGCTGAATGAAAATGACATGTTGATTCTGTGAGCTGGAGGTGAATCTATTGTGCAAGTCTGCTGTGCAACTACCACTACCCTAACCTACAAATTTATTTAGACTTTGACAGTATAATAGCTACCTACCAGTCTTTGCAGTAATATTGTCAGCCATATCTTTGATAGTTTTCAGAAGCAGTCTGGGACTGGAGGATGTTGGCATCCCCCCCTGTCTGCGCTGGTTTCTCTGTTGCTGCTGCTTCAAGGCCTGAAAACCAGCAAAATAAAGAAACAAAAAACAGAAAATATTATGAGAAAAAGAGAGTTTTGACATGAATAAGCCTCTGTTTCCTCCAGGGATTTTTTTTCCTGGTTAACTACCTGCAGAATAACAGTGCAGTAATGAGACCTAGCATAAATCACTTCATGTCAAAACCTTTATGTTTGTGTTTACAGAAACATGAGCATAAATAATCTCAAGAAGTTTGATCACATCACACATACAAAATATCAACAGATTAAAGAAGCAATCTGATACAATCCACTGAGAATCACAAAGGGAAAATACACAGTGATGCTAATATTTTCACTAAATCGCCATCTTCTTGTGCTCCCTACAACCTGTAACTGAGATCAAATTGGTCTTAGAGAGCAGAAAATTCTACAACAGCCCAGATGGAGTGAATTATAATCTGTGCAATCAAGTGAAATCTAATTAAATGCAGAACAAAAGGCACAAAGCAGTCAATGGGAAACTGGTGAATTACATTAACACTGTAAAACCAGGCATTTTCCCAATGAAAGGGTGAAAGCCCAGAGTTAGCTACTGTACACGTTTACTAAAAATGTGCCAGCCAAACAGTTTAGAGTAACAGTATGTAGGAGCATTTTGACAAGGATCAGAGGTGTGAACAATACAAATGAAACTATACAGTTGATATATAGGCCTAGTGCCCTCAGGTTGCAGGTGATGACCTTGGGGGGTTTCAATTAATTGTGAGCCAGGGACCACCATTCTGTCTAAGAAATAACCCAAGGACCACTGTTGTGTTGCAGCTAAACTGAATGGGCATGGTTTCAATCCTGAAAGTCAGTCTGGCTTTTCTAAATGTATATATTTGCATGAATAAGACTATTCACAAACAACCGCCACCTTATTGTGGTGGAGGGGTTTGAGTACCCGAGTGATCCTAGTAGCTATGTTGTCGGGGGCTATATGTCCCTGGTAGGGTCTCCCAAGGCAAACAGGTCCTGGGTGACGGGTCAGACTAAGAGCAGTTCAAAAGCCCTTTATGAATAGATTTGGCAGCAGTCGAAGGCAGGGGCCCGACGACCTGATCTCTGGACACGGAGACTAGCCCTGGGGACATGGAATGTCACCTCGCTGGTGGGGAAGGAGCCCGAGCTTGTGCAGGAGTTTGAGAGGTAACGGCTAGATATAGTCGGGCTCACCTCCACGCATAGCTTGGGCTCTGGAACCTTACTCCTCGAGAGAGGCTGGACTCTCTACTACTCCGGAGT